CCCCTACAACGTCCAAAACAGGAGGATAAGCCCTGAGCAAAACAGCAAACAAATATTCCTATTACCACCAAGCCCATAATTTTTAATTCAGCCTGGCAAAGCTTGGTTACCAGGAGGTAGCCCTTAAGAAATCAAAGCAACCCTGAGTCTAGCCAATGTTGTCAACCAAAGTTTTGAAATCCTGTTATCTTCCCTCTATCAATTTGGAATTATCAACGAAATTAAAACAGCACATGCCTTCAGGAAGGAAAGGAAAGTTGAATGTATGGCAGTCCACCTCTGTGGAGTCTTTGGGGTTCTCTGAGGTTGGTTGTTTTCTTGGAAACGTTTCTTGCTAGCACTGAAGATGTAACCGAGCCGGGTAACGAAACATTTGCAAGAAAACACCCAAGCTCAGAAGACCCCAAGGACTCCACAGTTCAACCGTGAGCCACACATGTTCTCTTATATTGGTCAGTCCACCCCTGTGAGCTCTCTCACGATCATCATGCCCAGCCCTCCACAGGATGCCCTGAGTTTCACTTGAGGGGATTTACCTGCCCATCGTATGTACCGTAGACACATGGCCTATCAACAATATACTAACTGAATAAAAGCATATTTGGAGTTTTTGTTGATTATTAGAGAGTGCTGAGTTCGCATTCACCCTCTCACAAAGTCAAAACAGTCACCAATCTTAGAGTCATTCAGTAGCTTTGTGTCGACAGGGAATGTCCCTTGCCAGTCATGAGGCACAGACGTGGAGACCAATATTTATACTGCTGTTCAGCAATAGCAGTCTGGCAGTTGAAAGGTCAGTGATTGCAGCGGGCAGGGTAAGAGGCAGGCGTTTTCAGCCAGCACAGGCACCTTTGCTTGAAGCAGATCCACGCCCAATTCAAGAGCTTGGAAGACTCCTCCTGAGGTGACTGCAATCCTCCTGGTGAGTTCCTATTGAAGTCCACTGAAGAAAAGGACCATCCTTCGCCACTCTTGTAGTGGAGTCTTCTTCTATTGGGAGATGTGAAGCATTTTTTCCTGCAGGGCAGAATACTTTGCCTGCTTTCAAACACCCAGTGCCTCCCTTCACCCACACTTCTGCTCCTGTGGCCCCGAATTGTCTTTCCCCCTTTCCTTTTGTATGGCACCTTTTCTTTCCCAAGTTTCAATAAAGCTAATAAGAAGAAGACTTGAGACAAGACTTCTTTAAAATAGCAGATGTATTTTGATCAAGACACAGCTGGGTGACCCCAATCAACACATTAGCAAGGAATGTTGAAGGAATCACACCTCACAAAGCAAACATCAGAGTTTTATAGGTGTTCACGAAAGTATTCAGATGGTACATTCCCCTATATCCATACAAGGGATTTTTGGGATGGTCTGAGCAAGGGAAAGGTGGTCCTTAGAAGGTGAATCTAAGTTTAATTTTTTTTCCCCTCTTATCTCCCCCTTGGGATTCCAAAAACTTCTTTCTGCCAGCTCCAGCCTGGCACCGAATTAATTTATGGCTTGCAGCATCTGGCTAGGGGCATCTAAGGGGAATGGGGGGGGGGGGGGTGCTGTGCTCTTTCTTAAGCAAGTTAACCCTTTATAAGTGAAATAGAGTCCATTTGTTACAGGTATGGTTATACATTATGTGAAACATATATATATATATATA